CCTAACATACTTTTAGAATGCCACATACCGAACTTTTAATCAGCCATAACTTTTTTTTTTTACTTCAAACTGAAACGTGAAATCATAATCAATATAAAATATACATATAGCATTTCAAATATAAATATAGAAAAATATTGAAGAATATAATGTGTTGACTTGTCCAATAGTTAGTCCCAACTCTTAAAAATTTGTAATTGATTAATGTTAAAAGTGGTGAGCCCAGTCGAGCATTTTAAGACAAGCTTGGGTAAGCGGTTTGTGAAGAGAACTGAAGGCCCATGTTTAAAATATTGAACCCAAAATTGTAAGCCCAGCCCAACAACCACGTGGATCAACAGATTTTCACACTATAGCTTACAGATTATTGTTTTTCCATTAGCTAAATTTTGAAGCTTTTTCTCGGCCGAAATTTACAGGTGAATTCACTCTTGCGAGCCCGACATTTTTCCAGAATCGAGCTCTGGTTTTTACATACTCATACGAATGTTTTGCAATTTTTCTCAATTTTTTCGTTGCTTATGCTTTTAATTCCATTTAGGAGCTACAAACTTTCTGATTCTTTTCGTTATTTGTTTGTGTGCAGCTTTCGATTTAGGGGATCTGATCCGATTTCAGAGCTCGTTTCAAGGTACGTTTCTATAATTTTCCTAACTTTACCTTTGATAAGTTTCCAGTTATTTTATTGTGCCTTGTTTCCTGTTTCGATAGTCAATTAGTGATTACCCATGAAGGCCCATTCGTGTTTTATGCTAGGTCGATGGATTTGTTGGTGAGGATTTTTGATTCTTGGCATTAATCAGCAAATGAAACCTTGTTTGAGTTCATAGTATTTGGTTAGACTAGTGAAAACTATCTCATATTTGAAAAAAAAAAAAAACTGAATAAAAATTGGTTCTGTTATTGTCGTAAATCTCTGTTGCTGTGTTAGTGCTATCCGTATACATTCGTAAAGTCTTTGCCTTGAGTCTTGATGCTTTTGAATGGTGAACTCGCGTTTTCCTTTGCCTGTTTTTTGCCACAGCTTATTCCGCGTGTCTTTGTTTGTCCTTTTATGTGTTGTTTTTGCCCTTTTTCTCATCACAAATTCTCGTGTGAGACGACCCATCATATATTTCGTAACAAAAATCCATACTTAATGCTGCGAAATCGAAATGTCAATACTTTTGTTCATGTTATTTTTTAGAATATGACATTTAAGTTTGAAATCGCCCATATCTGGTGAAAAAATATGATTGCCTAACCGTTAAGCTTGCCTTTCAGCAAGCTTACTATTTCCCTGTCAAGTCATTGTATCTTTAAATTTGTGGTGGTTACAGATGGGGTTCATAATGGAGTTTGCTGAGAATTTAGTACTCCGGTTGATGGAGGACCCAACAGAGAGAGATAGGAGGTTCAGGGAGCATTTGTACAAATTAAAAGAAAATGGCAAAAAGGCTAAGGAGTATTGGAGCTTGCCCCTCCGACCCTATGGCTTTTGGACATTCGAGCGCCACAATGCTCAAATTTTCTGGGATGCTCAGATAAGCCAAGTGCCCGGGCGCCGGGACCCATATGATGACCTCCTGCAGGATTACACCAGTGCTTCATCCTCCAAATGATGTGGTTAGTTTCTCACGTATTTTGACGTTTTTATGATGATGGAATTCCAACATTGTTTGTTTGTTCTATGGCTATGTTTTGTAACAAAATAAGCTTGCTTATAGCTTATTTGATTAACTTATAAGCTTCTTATATTCAAATAAGTTTTGTTTGGTAGGACGAACTTTTTTAAAAAGCTCGAGCTTATTTCATAAGTTTCTTTGGTTAGCTTTTCAAATAAGCTCGTTGAAATTTTTTTTCAGCTAGCTTATCAGCTAATTTTACCAAACACTTTTATCATATAAGCTAGCTTTTTAACTATAACGCATAAGCTATAAGCTATAGGCTCGAAATTCACTTAAAAACTATAAGCTAGCTTATCGGCTATAAACTAGCTTATCAGCGTTTACCAAACATAGCCTTGGTGGGTTGAATCTATGAGTTGTTTGTTCTTGTCTGAATTTTTAAACTTTTTCAAGACTTGATATATTGTGTAGATTCGTTCTTTTGAAATGGTTTCTTGTGTGATTTGGAGATTAAAAGAACAAAATATCGTAGGAGAACATTTTTGCAGTAGTTGTGACTTGCGTTTGTCGGTGATGGAGGGTGAAATATGTGTTGTGGAAAGGTTGTTACCTGAAAAAAATAAACTTTAAATCCGTGCTGCTTTTGAAAAACTGCAGAGAAGAAAAAGAAAAAAAAATTGTTGTTAAGACGAGATCGTGAATTACCAGTAAGCTTGAAATGCGAGGGTTGGAACTGAATTTGCTTGTGCGAGAGAACAGAAAATATGAGGCTGAGATATTGAGATTAGAAGTGGAAGTTAGTACAGAAAATGTTTTCATCTCTAAGATGGCATCCCAGCAAGAGGGACTTATCTCACTAACCAGTTAGTCGAGTTATGGACTCATCCCGTTGAATACATAGGATTAGCAAATTATGTCACAGTTTAGGAATAATGGATCTCGAGCAAGGACTGACTACATATACTACGCACAGTCTATTGGTACTAAGAGTAACTTTTTTTTCTATCTGCTTCTTAAGAAGCATGTTAAGATTATGCATTAACGTATGTTCAGTTGTAAAGGCATGTAATGCTTCTCGTGTTTCTTCATGCAGGCACATATGCTAGACGTGTCTACATAAACCGTGTCCCCTACCGTCTCGTTTTTTTTTCTTTTGGCTGCATTTCTTAAGACTTGAAACCGTGTTTTTTATGTTCCATTGTTTGTAATAATTACAGTAACTAAGGATGATTGTAACTGTGGAGAGTCTGATTTGCTACAACATCCTCTCAAACTTTTGTTTGCATATGAAAATTCTCTGGAATATTATCACATTGAAGTGGCCGGACATGTAATGACTCAGGGGCTAGCAATGCCATGCTGTCTTTCTTCGCAAATTCTTAAAAGTTCGGTTTTGTTCTTTATTTTGTTTTATGCAATTAATCTACAAAAATTAAGAACTAATGTTACTGGCTACTTGAATAGCCAGCCAAACTCAAAAAACCCTAGTCCACCAAGACAGTGAACTAAACTCCGAAAACAAGAACAAAGCAACCAAGAAATGATATCTTCTTCTTAAAGCAAACTCGTGTGCTCGGCTTCTAATTTTAAGGTTTACCTTTCGAAACCTCTACTTGCAACACTTCAGTAGTCATACACCCTCGATCATCCCAGCCACTTGCAACATCTTAGTCCGTTTGTCCATGATTCTTATCATGCACGTCAATGTACAGTACTTCCACCATCTCCTTCATACTCGGGCACCTCAAGAGCTCGACATTTGCGAAAATTTCGCTAATTTTTTATATATAAATATTACTTTGATCGACACTTAAATTTGTTGGGCCACATTTGCTCTTTCTCATCTGTTTCTTTCTACTGAAAAATATATTTGGGATATTTTAGTGCATGTTTGGAAGTACTTATGAAAACAACTTTTAATTATGAAAGTTTATTTTCAAAATAAATTCAAACTTTTTTTTTTTTTTGAGAAGTAATCCTCTCACAATGTCCACTTCACAAAAAGGATAAATTAGTTCTTTTTAAAAAGTGATTATAAAAAAAATACTTTTTAAAAAGTCCATATTTTAAATGAAAAGTCATATTTTCCTTTACCACCAACCAAACACGGCCCACATCCATACGACGACGTTTTAGCGATGCACCCCCTCGCAGGCAGCTCAAGTCACCCACCCTTTCACGTCTCGATGAGTCCGCCCACGAGACCCATACATTCCACAACAATATATTTAAAAATTTATCCATGTCGTAAATGACTAATATGCCCCTAAATGTATCTTAAAGTTAAGCTGGTGTTGGTCAAAACTTTCGCAGTAAAAGTGAATTTAAACGGATATTTTTTTAAATATCGATATATTTTCCAAATGAGATGTTATATTTTAAAATACAATATAAAAAAACATGATATCTCATAACAATAAGTAGACAGTTTTAGATGGATTCTTACAAGAATTTGTAAAATTAAAAATATTTCATAGAGAAAAATATAAAATAATGATATTATATAAATGAATAATTTGGAGAATATTTTTTCAAAAGCAATTGATTAGTATAATGATGAAATTAATTGTTTCACATATTAAATTCAGGTGGAGGATATTTCTGTCATTTATTCCCATAAGATCCAGTTGATGATGTTCCTTTTAATACCTCTCACCAGTCGCCACTACTGTAAGCCTCTGCACATTTTCCAGCCTTGCTTAATCCGCCATAGGCAAAATTCAAGCTCGCAGCTCAAGCTTTACCAGCCGCGAATCGGAAAAATGGAGTCGGCCGCGTTATCCCAAATCGGTCTCGCCGGCCTGGCCGTGATGGGCCAGAATCTCGCCCTCAACATCGCCGAGAAAGGGTTCCCAATCTCCGTCTACAACCGCACCGCCTCCAAGGTCGACGAAACCCTAGATCGGGCCCGCCGCGAGGGCCACCTTCCCCTCTCCGGCCACTACAACCCCCGAGACTTCGTCCTCTCCGTCAAGCGGCCCCGCTCCATCATCATCCTGGTCAAGGCCGGCGCCCCCGTCGACCAGACCATCGCCGCCCTCTCTGCCCACATGGATCCCGGCGACACCATCGTCGACGGCGGCAACGAGTGGTACGAGAACACCGAGCGCCGCGCGGCCGACGCATCCGCCGCTGGCCTGCTCTACCTGGGGATGGGAGTCTCCGGCGGCGAGGACGGCGCCAGATACGGTCCATCCCTGATGCCCGGAGGTTCCCACCAGGCCTACCTGAACATCCAAGGCATACTCCAAAAGGTTGCAGCCCAGGTCGACGACGGGCCCTGCGTAGCCTACATCGGGTCTGGCGGGTCGGGCAATTTCGTCAAGATGATACACAACGGGATCGAATATGGCGATATGCAGCTGATTTCCGAGGCGTACGATGTTCTCAAGAACGTGGGAGGCTTGCGAAATGAAGAATTGGCCGAGATTTTCGGAGAGTGGAACCGTGGGGAGCTCGAGAGCTTCTTGATCGAGATCACGTCCGATATATTCAAGGTGAAGGATGAAGAAACTGGAAAAGGGCATTTGGTGGATAAGATTCTGGATAAAACCGGGATGAAAGGGACCGGGAAATGGACTGTGCAGCAGGCAGCCGAGCTCTCGATAGCAGCACCCACCATTGCCGCCTCACTCGACAGCCGGTACATGAGTGGTCTGAAAGAGGAAAGAGAGGCTGCAACCGAGATTTTCAAGAACGAGGGTTTGAAAGAGGAAATCGACAATGTGGGCTCGGTGGATAAGAAGAGATTGATCGATGATGTTAGGCAGGCTTTATACGCATCAAAGATTTGCAGTTATGCGCAGGGGATGAATTTGCTGAGGGCAAAGAGCATGGAGAAAGGTTGGGGCTTGAATTTGGGTGAGCTTGCCAGGATTTGGAAAGGCGGGTGTATTATTAGGGCCGTTTTCTTGGACAGGATTAAGCAAGCTTACCAGAGAAACCCGGAGCTTCCGAATTTGTTGGTTGATCCTGAATTTGCTCGGGAGATGGTTCAGAGGCAGGCGGCTTGGAGAAGGGTCGTTGGTTTGGCCATTCAGAGGGGTATTAGTGTTGCCGGAATGTCGGCAAGCTTGCAGTATTTTGACACGTATAGGCGTGGGAGGCTGCCGGCTAACCTTGTGCAGGCTCAAAGAGACTATTTTGGGGCGCATACTTACGAAAGGGTTGACCGTTCGGGGGCTTATCACACCGAGTGGTCAAAGCTTGCTCGGAAAGCCAAATTGTAGGGTGGAGATTGGAGAATGTTGGATGAATTTGAGGTGAAGTTTGGGTTATGAATTATGAATTATGATTTGGTGATTTGAGCATTGTTCTTTCTCTAGGTTGAGTTTTACTTGAATTGTTGTATCCTTTAATATGAGGATATTTGTTGCTTGCAAGAAAAACTATTTTTGTGTGGTTAATAAGAGGAGAGGAGCATATGCATTTTGATGATTTTGTGAATTGGTTTGTCTTTGTTGTTATTAAGTGTGTTATACAATGCTTATATTGTGTTGTTGTGCACTTGTGCTGAAGTTTGATGATATAGATAAATGGATTGATCCAATAGCTAGCAATTTTATTCATGTATTTTTCATATATTACAACTTTACTTCAGTGTTTTTTTTTTTCTTTTTAATTGATATTTATTCATATATTATTTTGACAAATTATATATTAATATAATTATTATTTTGTTGTATAATTTAAATTTATAGTTGTATTTAATTTTTTCTTACTAACATATTTCATGTAGAGTAAGTGTAACGTGAAGTATGAAAATTAAATATTGGCATTCTCTACTCCAGAGTTTTGAAGATGGTCTTAGGCAGTGCGTTTAAATTAAACGAGCCTGGTTCGGCTCGGCTATCTAATGCTCGAGCTCGAGTCCTTAAAGTTCGTTTGGTTAACGAGCCGAGTCGAAAAGAGATTAAGGCTCGAGCTCGAGCCTTTAAGAGTCGAGCTCGAGTTCGATGTTTGGCTCATTTATTTAACGAGCTCATTAAGGGCTCTGACTCGAGCTCGAACACCCTAAGCTCGAGTTCGCCTCGGCTCTTTTATAGGCCTAGTCTTAGTCTTAGGAGAATGTAATACCCTAATGGCATGATTGGTATAATGGAATGGAATCTCGTAAGAATGGAGTGAATTGAAAAATGGAATGATTATGGGAATAGAATGAAACAAGTTTTGTCATTGATGCGTTTGATATACAAAAGGAATAGGACTTGAATGGAATGACATTACCATTTTTTATTATAAAAATAAATAAAAGCTTTTTTTTAAAAATAATGTACTTTTAATAAATTATATATAAATGTTTTTTTAATAATATATAAAAATAAAATAATATATTTTTAAATTATATATAAAAATAATATATTCTTAAAAGTAATATATTTTTAAAATATAATAAATAATATATTTCTAATAATATAAAAATATAAAAAGTAATATAATTTTAATAATATATATTTTATTTTTTAATTAAACAATAAATAAAAGTAAGTTTTCAATTTTTTATTTGAATTTTATTTTTTAAAATAATATATTTTTAATAATATATATTTTTAATATTTTTCAATAATATATTTTTAAAAGTAATATAATTTTAATAATAAATAAAAATAAAATAATATATTTTTAAATTATATATAAATACTTTTTTTAGTTTTATTTTTATATAAATATTTAATACATCTAATTAAAAAATAAATAAAAGTAAATTTTCAATTTTTTTATTTGAATTTTATTTTTTAAAATAATTTTATTTAATATATTTTAGTCATGATTTATGCTATATATTATGTATTTATTTTTTATTATTATTTATTAATGTTATTCTTTAAAAAATTGATTTCTACACACGTGAGAATGAGAAAACCTTCCATTTACTATGGAATGGCTAATCCCATGGAGATGGGTTTTGCCATTCCCATTGGAATGATCATTCATTTCCAAAAAATATACCAATTATAGAATAAGGAATGAGTAAAAAAATTATCATTCCATTCCCATGTTATTCTTTCCTACCAATAACTTCAATAATCTCAATCAATTTATCCACACATTCAAAATAGTTTGCAATCTTCTAGCTCAAATAGCATATGATGGTAACATAACAAATTAAAATTATGTGTTCAATTTTATGTAATTTCTTTTTTTATAATAATATTAAAGACTACGTGAAAAAATATGTATTCTAACATATTGAAAAATCAAATGTTCATTATGTAATTCCATTTTTTGTAAAAATATATATTTTTTATAAAAAAAAATATAAAAGACTACTCGAGAAAATTAACCTTCCGTATTTCAATTGAATTTTTCTATAAATATTTAAAACAATATTAAAAAAACATGTATCCCATGTTTCGATTAAACAAACAAAATTGATATTTCTATCAATATAAAAACAATATTAAAAAACATGTATCCATATTTCAATTAACCAAACAAAATTGGTCAGTGCTCATTCAATCAAACACCCATTCCTACACCGAACCTATTCAATCAGACACAACCCACACCCGATTTTGCCAATTAAACCAACAAACCTCCACTGAATTAGGGATGTAAATGGGTCGGGTCGGGTACGGGTTTAGGCAAATCCGAACCCGACCCGCATATAATTTACCCTACCCAAACTCGACCCGTTACCCGGTTAGTGATCTTTGGGTTCGGGTTGGGTTTTACCCGGCGGGTTAGTGGGTTTTCGTCGGATAAACGGGTAACCCGAGTTCTTAAATTTGGGTTTTACACGACCCATCTCGTTTCATATGAAAAAATAAAATAAAATAATTTTACAATTAATTATAATGTAACAAATAATTTATTAACTAAGTTTCACAATAAAAACTATAAAAAAAAATCATATTATTTTCTGAAATAAATAATGAGATATAATTATTTATCTTTTATAGTCTATTTAATAATATAACATTTAAAAATAAAGTATTTAATTTTTTTATTGTACAATTAACAAAAAATGATAATAAAACCATAAAAAATAAAATAAAATTCAACAATTAATCAAATTATAATAAATAATCTAATTTTTAATATTAATAACACATGACTACTTTTATATTTATAATAAATTATAAATGTATATTTATATATATGCATATATAAAATTCAATGGTTGCGGGTAAACGGGTAGGGTAATCGGGTCGGCTAACGAGTTTTCCTACTATACCTGCACCCGACCCGACCCGGTGTTCGGGTAGCATAATTCTATCCAAACCCGACCCGAAACCCGACCATCTCGGGTTTACCTTACCCAAAAATGCGGGTAACCCGCGGGTAACCCGGGTTTTATTGACATCCCTACACTGAATCCCTCATTATAGCTTAACTTAATATAGATGTATATATTCATTAATTAATATTTTCAAATTTATTTCTTATAATTTTTTATAATAAAATTAATTTTAGATTAAATTAGATAAATGTATTATAAAGTTAAACTTTATAAAAACTGAGAATAGAAGCAAAATTTATTTATAGACAAATAGAACGATATATTTGATCTAATACATTTGATCTAAAGTGCGGTATGAATTACCGTGAGTTCTCTAAAAATTTCTCATCAAAATCTCTATTAATTTTTTTATTGTAGGGTTTTGTTAAAGAAATACAGTTAAAATCTATATGTAAGGAATACCGACTTGATGTTCTAAATTGGAGTACAAAGTTGTTAGATATGTTTAATATAATTTTTATGCTAATAACATTTACTTGATATTTTATTTAAAAAAAAATTACAAATGAGTAGCCAAAAAAGAGCACCTCGGTCATCAAATTGTCGAATGCTTGATTCGAATTTAATAATCATATTTGTTATGAAATTTGCCCTTTGTTAAACAATCTATTTCGCCATTTTTATCTTGTATTGTTCCTTTATTTCTCAACTTGGGTTCGCCATTTGTATTTCTCAACTTGGATTTGAAAGTCTACCTTCAATCGAAAGAATAAGATAAACCATAATACAAAACTTATCTCGGCGAATGATTGAGTCAATCTTTGAAAATTTCAGATATCCTCTTGCAATTACCAGGCTTCAATTGCACAAGAAGTAATAAGAATGTGTCCCTAATTTGAAAAACACAAATTCTTGTATGAAACAACTTAACCATGTCAATTCATCACTCATTTATTGAGAATGAGTACTCATCTTTCCAAATGTCATCACACATTACTTCTGTTTGTTATATTTAAAAGTACCATTTCAAATTCAAATTATGCATGTTTGTCGATAAAGTATGAGTGTCTAACCATTAGATCTGCCTAGCAGCACATATTGTACTACACAAATACACATGCAGAAAAGAATACAGAACTGTCAAAAGGCGCATTCACATTTACAATTAATTCCTACAGCAGCCACAAATCACCATTCCGAAAGAACATTGCTGTATTGAACCATACATTCTCTGTAGATATCATCACTCTATTCAGCATTTGGTGGATAAGATTCTGGATAAAACCGGGATGAAAGGGACCGGGAAATGGACCGTTCAGCAGGCAGCCGAGCTCACTCGACAGCCGGTACATGAGTGGTCTGAAATAGGAAAGAGAGGTTGCAGTCGAGATTTTTAAGAATGAGGGTTTGAAAGAAGAAATCGAGAATGTGGGCTCGTTGGATAAGAAGAAATTGATCGATGATGTTAGGCAGGCTTTATACGCATCCAAGATTTGCAGTTACGGATGAATTTGCTGAGGGCAAAGAGTATGGAGAAAGGTTGGGGCTTGAATTTGCTGAGGGCAAGCGTACCAGAGAAATCCAGGTCTTTCGAATTTGCTCGGGAGATGGTTCAGAGGCAGGCAGCTTGGAGGCGGATCGTTGGGTTGGCCATTCAAAGGTGTTGCGGGAATGTCGATAAGCTTGCAGTATTTTGACACGTACAGGCGTGGGAGGCTGCTTGCTAACCTCGTGCAGGCCCAAAGGGACTATTTTATGAAAGGGTTATCACACTGAGTGGTCAAAGCTTGCTCGGAAAGCCAGATTGTAGGGTGGAGATTGGAGAAGGTTAGATGAATTTGAGATGAAGTTTGGGTTATGAATTATGATTTTGGTGATTTAGCATTGTTCTTTCTCTAGGACAGTTTTTCAAATAAGCTCGTTGAATTTTTTATTTCAGCTAGATTATTAGCTAATTTTACCAAATACTTTTATCACAACTTTTTAGCTATAAGTCATAAGATACAAGCTATAAGATCGAAAATAATTAATAAACTATAAACTAGCTTATCAGTTAGTTTTATCAAATTTAACTTTACATGTTTGCAAGTAAATGGAATTTAAAATTGTGCTTAATTATATTTTGTATAAATAAGGGAAAATGGCAGTTTATACCTTACATGGGAAAAGTCTATCTCTAACTTACATGTTCCATTTTGGTGGAAGTACCTACTGGCTAAAATAACATACTATGCTAACATAACATATTAAAACTAGATGTCCAGTTTTATGTAATTTAATTTTTTATGATAATATAATTTTTTTTTATAAAATATAGAAGACTATTTTAAAAGGTGAATTGATTTTTTGTTTTTCTTTTTATAAATATATAAAACACTAATTAAAAACATACATCTCATATTTAATTGAAAAAAAAATAAAAATAAAAATCGATCCCACACCACCTTGACCTTCCTGCTTGGATTATACATTGGATTGATCACGTTTATCATATTTAATTGAAAAAAAAATAAAAATAAAAATCGATCCCACACCATTATACATTGGATTGCGATCACGTTTATCATATTTAATTGAAAAAAAAAATAAAATAAAAATCGAACCCACACCACCTTGACCTTCTTGCTTGGATTATACATTGGATTGCGATCACGTTTATCAACCAATTGAATATAGATATATATCAATTTTTTAATTTTTTTTATAAATTTCTATAATAAAATTAATTTTAACATAAATTTGATAAATTTTGTTATAAGGTTAAACTTTATATAAATTAAGAATAGAAGCAAAATTTATTTATAGAGAAACAGAATGATATATTTGACCTTATATATATTTGATCTAAAGATTACAGTGCAATATGAATTTCTCTAGAGTTCTTTATAATTTCTCCTCAAACTCTCTATTTAAATGTTAAAATCTCTACTTGATGTCCCAAATTGGAGTACAATGTTGTCGCATATGTTTAATACAATTTATATGCTAATAACATTTACTTGATATTTTATTTGAAAAAAAAAAAAAAAGTTATCATTTGATATCAGTTGCTTGGTATATTATTTTTAAAAAAATAGTTACAAATGAGTACCCAAAAAAGAGCACCTCACGCCAAGTCAGTGTCAGACTACTCGGTCATCGAATTGTCTAGTGCTTAGATTCGAATTGAATAATCATATTTGTTATGAAATTTACCCTTTGTTAAACAATCTATTTCGCCATTTTTATCTTGTATTGTACCTTTATTTCTCAACTTGGGTTTGAAATTCCTCCTGAAATCGAACCAATAAGATAAGCCACAATACACAACACATTTTAAATTTCAGATGTCCTCTTGCAATTACCAGGCTTCAACTGCAACAAAAAATACTAAGAATGTATGCATGGGTATTTTTTAAAAACATAAATTCTTGTATGAGACAATCTAACTCTTAAACATGTCAATCCATCACTCGTTTATTGAAAATGCATGCTTATCTTTCAAAATGTCATCATACTTCGGCATGTTATATTTAGAGCAACATTTCAATTTGAAATTATGTATGTCTTGTCGATAAAAGACAATAAAGTATGACTGTCTAACCATTAGGTCTACTTATTATCCACCGTTTCGCATACACAAAAGAATATAGAACTGTAAAAACTAAAAAGGCCCATTCATATATACAATTAATTCCTACATTAGAGCCACAAATCACCATTCCGAAAGAACATTGCTGTATTGAACCAAACATTCTCTGTAGATATCACCACTCTATTCAGACAAGGCAGTGTCTCCCCTACACAATCTAAAACTAAACACCAAGTAAAGATACACATCACCTAAGTTGCAATAAAATCTTATATAGTCCACAACTTTTCACGACTTCGAAATCAAAATCAAGCGTTAATTCCACTACGTAAATTACCGGACTACATTCTCTTCAAGGAAAACAAAACGGAAAAAGTACAAAAAAGGGAAAGAAATTGCAGTATTAAACGGACGGTACCTTCTTAGCAAAACGCTGTAGGGACTTGGGCAGCAATTGATTTTCTCCATGCTCGTTATCATCTCTCTTCCTCTTCTTCTTCTCCTTCTCCTTCGACACCTCATCCTCCACAAAACCCTTCTTGGCCTTGACCACGGCCTCCTTTTTCTTCTTCGCCACCTTGCTAGGCTTGCTCCTCCCTTTCGTCTTCTTCTTGATACGAACCCTCTTAGCTTCCTCCACGGCCGCTTCCCTCTCCGCCTCTCTCTCCTCTCTGCTCACTTTCTCTCTCCTCCTCTCTCTAACAGACCCGATTCTCGACGGGTCGAGCATGATTGTCTCGGGCGGCAGCTTGTCGAGCAGGGCTCGAACCTCCTTCTCTCTCCTCTGCTTCCGAGTCTCGAACGGATTCGCGACCCACGTGTCGAAGTTGGGTTCGCCAGACCCAGGCACCAATATCGACGACCAACCCATCGAGTGCCCGATCGCCAAAACATCCTCGTAAGGCCTGAACGAAACTTTCCCGATTTGGTAACCTTTCGCCATCGAGTGGCCCATGTAGCGTGTGTACTCGTTGGGCCCACCAGAGAAATTGCCGAGTATCTGGACAAAAGATCCGGAGGACGAGGCCAGCAGGCCCTTCTGGCTGAAGTCCAAGGAGCTCGCGTGGCCACTGACCGTTTGGAGGGTCTCGTATTTTCGGAGGTCCCAGAGCTTTATCTTGCGGTCCATGCCAGCTGTCGCCATGAGGTGGCCGCTGGGGTGGAAAGCGAGGGCTGTGATGGGGCCAGGGTGGCAGAGCATCTTGATGAGAGGGGCGGCGCTCGTGGGCTTCCACATGGTGACAGTGCCGCGAGAGTGGGCGACAGCTGTCACGTTGTTGAATGGGTTGGCACGCATGGCGCCCGGGCGGCCCAGGCCCGTTTTGAAGTTACCGACCATTTGGCCCGTTGTGATGTCCTGAAAATGGAGGTGGCCGAACTTGTTTATGGAGGTTAGGAGGAAGTGTTTGTGGAGAAATTGGAGGTGTAATGCGGGGCCGTGTTCCTGCATACGAGAGAATGGTTAAAGTCTGATTTTTTTTTATTTTTTATTTTTTTTTATTGGGTTAAGGGAAGAAAATTTTAACAGCTCGTTAGATATTTGCAGATATAATTCTGAAGTAGAGCTCCGAGTGCACTTGAGAGTTGAGACTTCTTTTTTTTGAAGACAATGGGTTTTAAATGCCCCAAAACTGAATTCATTCAAAATGAAGTTTCGAATCCGTTAGAAATCATCACATAAGGATGTCCCGCGCAGTGAACTGAAATGATGAGATCTTTAACATAACTTTTATTCCTCCCAGGTAACGAAACAAAACTTTAGTTTCCTCCCGAAAAAAAATAAAAATTAATCCACACATCAAAACCAAACTTGGGCAATTCATCATACCCACCAAAGATAGTTGTATGTGTAAAGGAATCAGATGAACTCTTGAAGTGAGAATTTAACATCTTTAATACCTTTCCTCCGGCATATTAAGATTTGAACTTCAAACCTCTGTTGAAGTAGTCAAAGTTTAAACGAATTGTAC